TGAGTATGTCCCACATATCGTAAAGCAGTTATATCATTAGGTTTCTTACCTTATTTTGGAGATATTGATTGACAAACACTATGCCCTACAGTATCTAAGTGGAGTTTTAATTCTCCATGTTTCCGGGCTCATTGCTCTGTCCATAATGGGATTTTTTTAAGCATACACAAAAAATATCAAAGTGGATATGTATCTTTTAAAATATTTCAGAGTATAACTAGGATTTAAAATTCGAAAAAGGGAGTTTTGTCTATCACACTAGTACTGCATCTGGATAGGGAAAATTACAATTTTTTAAGACAACTTAAACAATAAAAAACGTAATTTACAAAAAATTCTATCATTCAATATTTTTAATTCACGTTGAAATGCAAATCCTTCGAATTATTGATTAACTATAAAAATTTCGAATGGTGAAGCTGACCTGAATATTGCACAGGACATCGTTAAAGAGGACATAAGCATGACAAAAACGTGTCATGTTACATTTCTCGAGTACGGGAAAAACCAACTATGACGTCACATGTAAGCTAAATAAGCGAAATAAGATATACCTACATAAGATTTCCGTCATCAGCCATGCAAACATAATTTTTGTGTTCCCCGGTTCTCAAAATATTTCATCATATACTTATTATGACCTGTTTTTACATATTAATACCGCCCCTGTGTTCACCGAGTATGATCGTGCTGTACTTACAGATCGTGTATGACGTCACCGACTTGTTGGACGCGCAGTTTAGGGAAAGAGAGGAGTGGATCAACCTTTGTCATAATTTGTTGATGTTTACAAGAATGTTAAAACTTTCTAATTTTTTTTATATAAGATGGTAATTAAAGTTAGAAAAATTGTCAAATAATTATACAAGAACTGATGCTTTACACATTTTACACTTATATAAACGGAGACTATTACGTAGTTAAACAGAGTCATGTGACCATGTGTCCTTCATCCCCTTAAAAATATTTTCAAGAACAGGAACGCAGCTAGGTTAAGGACTCCCATATATACGTCAGTCTGTGCAGAGGTTCGGGAGGGCTATTTTGAACAAACAATACAAATGAATCTTGATGAATAAATACTGTATGTTCTTTTTAAAACACACTAAATACTTTTGTTTCTCATAAATGTTATAAAGATATACATGGATGTGCAACTTATCTTGCCATAATACCACTTAGCGTATGCAGAATGAAAGCCAGCTTGATCTCGCTGTACTTACTGAGATGACGTCATTTATTAGTTTGACACGCAGTTTCTCTGTATTTGAGGCGGGAATCAAGCTTTAATCGTAGCTTGTAAAAATAAAAATAAATACGAAACATGCGTAGACAGACAAAAAGAGAGACATATTCTGTAATATATTAATCCAAATTTTATTGTCAAACTAAATTGATAATGTGTAGACTTTAGATATAGCCGTTGGGAGCACATTTGTACAGTAACGTGCTAGAATGAGGGGTCCAGCCCCTCGAAAATGTCAAAAGTTCAACAATATCTGCTTCACTATAAATTCTGAATTTTTAAACACATGTAGCTATTATTCCTACTATTCTGAAAAGTGCTGGGAGCTGGTTGTACACTGTTTATTTATTCCGTAATCTAACATTATTCCAATGCGTATTGCATTTTTGTTTGGAGGTTATAGAAAGACGGCTAAATTTTAAACAATTCTCGAGCATGAGAAAGCAGCTCCCAACACTTTTCGGGTTAAGGAATTTGTCTCAAAGAAAACAAAATAAATTTTATAGCGGAAAGATGCCCGTATATCGTTGAACTTTTACGATCTTTGTAGTAGTACATATATGGTCCAATTCTAAACCTGTCACGTGACAAACGGCTGATGTAAGCGATGTCACTTTGGCCGAACTCAGCATAGACCCGATATATACAAATGCAATCACCACAATTCACATTTATCAAAACTACTGCTGTTTAAAAAATATTAAAATTGTATTCATTTTCCCTAAATATATAAAGGCGTATATTTCATGGGCGTCCTTAACCTAGCTGTGAAAGCCATGATTACTCATATTGATATGGAAGCATCCCCAAGTATTGTAGATTCAAGTTTGTTCAAGGCATCCTCCAGCAGTAGTGTGGGGCCATAATGTGGGATCAAAGTTTTACAAAAGAACACATATAGGAAATATCTTTAAAAATCTTCTTCTGAAGAACAACAAAGCCATGATTAATCATGATTAGCATCCTCAGGTAGTATAGATTCAAGTTTGTTCAAATCATAACCCCCCCCCCCCCCAATTATGGTGGCAAACATTTTTAAAATTCCGTTTTCAAAAACAGCAAAGCCATAATTAGTTATATGACTATAGAAGCATCCTAAGAAAGTTTAGATTCAATTTCATTCAAAACATGGCACCTGGAGGTATGCCTAGAACAGGCGATCAAAGCTTTACGTATGAATTATCTGCTGACGAAGAACAGCAGGGCCATATTGACTTAGGTGAGCGTTGTGGCCCATGGGCCTCTATTTTTTTTTATTTACTAAATGATACTATTCAACATGTGAAATAAAAAAGGTTATGACGTCTGGCGTGAACAAACTCATAAAATCATTATTACAGTGTGATAAATATTCTATATATTAAAAAGATTCTTCTACACACATATTAAAGAATAAGCAATCAAATCTTTATATCCATATTGGCATTTTTTATTTGCTTCAATATACATATATACATTAAATAATTCTACAAATACAGGGATCGAGTGAACCCCCCCCCCTGCCCTCAACTCTGCATGCTCTTCTTTTTTCCCTAAGCGGGGGACACAAATTCTCTGAAGTAGCTTGTTTAAACATAGTTTAATAGTAAAGGAAGAAAGGAAGCACTAAAAAATAAGCAAATATATAAACAAATCTTTAAGGGTTTTTCTAAAAGAATTACCAAACAAATGTATGCTGGAAATATAACCCACTGGTTTTCCATGCCTATATAAAATACGAAAAAACGTTGAATATGTGTCAAGTAAATGCTTAAATCTTTAACTTATGTTTACCATACCAGTTGTAGCAGCACAGATACATTTAAATATATGCAACAATTTGGCTCTGTTACTTTGAGAAAACAAATTAATATATATCTTGTAGCTTAAACATTATTTGGAAAAAAAATATATAAAATATGTGCAATTTCAATGCATTATGCATGAATGATTTCTTATTTTTTTTTTTTTTAAGCTGGGCACTCACCTAACATTAATTCTTACTTAAATGCCATTTATTTTAGAAATCTGACGCATGGTACCTAAGAGAGATTTATTTATTCAAAGGCCAAGGAATTTGATCAGGATAAATGTTGTTAACATCATTATGATCCACTGTATGGAAAGTGTGTCTTTCCTTTGTTTGTATGTGTCCTTTGTTAAAAGATATTGTCACAATTTTGAACTCAATACTTGTGTTAAATACAAACTACAAGCTCCATGTAGTAAATTTAAATTCGCACTACAAACCCAACATTGTGACATTAAGTTGTCAATATCATATTACTTCATGCCTCTATTTTTTTTTCATTCTGAATGCTTCCATCTGCCTAAAAACGAGGATTATTTTTCCAGAATAAAACTAAGATTGAAAAAGTGCATAAATTACGAACTCTTTTGGGCACTTGTTAGAAGCAAAACATTGGAAACGTGGATTGGAATATATTTTGAAATATATTTTGGTTGTAAACGATGCATATATTAAATTTATAAATTACTAAGAATTTGGAGACTTTCTATTGTGTTAAAATTGCTTTTTTCTTGCCATTACCCTTATAAATCTTTGCAATTTTCTATCACTTTATAAGACATTATTGAGAAACTTTATGTGCTTATACTTATTCATTTTATTTACATAAACGCACAATTTGTTATGTTCATGATTTAAAAAAAATTAAAAGTTTCTTGTACCATCTGTCCTTAGTATGGGACATCGGAATGCACAATTGTCTGTTTAATCTACTTATTAACTTCCTTAATCATGTTTAATAGTTGCGATTATTGAAATACAACTTTGCAAATTCTTTGATGCCTACATAACTTCAACATTAATTTTAAAATACAAGTAATAAATGAATTATTAATGATTTTGTTCATTAATCCACAAAAATGTAACTGTTCATAAGCTTGAGTTTATATTCAATTTTTATATAAGATAAACTTGCTTTTTTTCTTTCTCTAGGACATTTACCTTTTTTAACAGATCATTGTTATGTGCGATTTACAAGTATGATGCTTAAACCTGATTGCATTTTATTATAATGAATGATTTATATTATGGCATCTATCTCGCCTGTATGCGAATAAGATGCTTTTATCTTGGAAGCGCAATTTTTTTGGCGCAGTTATCTCTCCTTGTTTGAGCACGAGTTATCTAACTTTCAATTACATAAAGAAAGCGCTCGTGCTGCAAACTCTCTCTTTGCCGGTTACATGCTAGTTGCAAGGTTGGTGTTAATAATTTTTTTTAAAAAACAATGTGGCTAAGTGTAGATTTTTAAAGTAGATTGTTGCTAAAAAGTCTTGATTGTTATTAATGTTTATTACGAATTTGTACTGTTTTACTGTTTATTTATCTATTCGATGACAAAGGTTTGAGATCAGGTCAAATGCATTTCAGTTGTTTCTAATTCGCATCACCATGTGCTAGCCGCCATCTTTGTCGCAAGTGGAAAAAAAATCGAATAATATAAGCTAATAAAAAATAATTTTATAACTTTATCTTTTGCGAATCTTCGACTTATCTATTTTCATCTTCAATTTTCTGTAAAGGAAATGATAAATATTAGCTAAAAAAAATTTAAAAAAAAAAAAAAAAAAAAAAAAAAAACAAGCTAGCTAGGCCTAGATCTACTATTTTGTTGTAAATTGTAAAATTTTACTTTATGGCACCGAATTTAGCACCATTGACTACATGTTTCCTATTCATTTTAATATTTTGTATAATTAGATAAATTCTTTTAAATTAATGGTTTATTTTAACTTTTAACTTGATATGCCACGCACTAAGCGAGCTACGAAAGGCAGGCCACGTCAGCGGTTTGACCCATCTCAAACAACAGCAATGGAGAATCGGGGTCGTGCAAGGAGGCGGATGGATCGAACTCAAGTAACCCCATCCCCGAACATTCAACCCCATCCAGAAGCTACGCCAGGTCTATGTCATCATCCCATGCAGGTTCAGCAGACCCAACATGACACCCAACCACTGCCGGCTGCCACGACACAACAGCAAGTCAGCCAGCAGACATTAATGCAGCATTTCAACCAACAAGTCCAACCTGCTCTAATACCTGCACAGCCACTGCAGAATGTTCTCCAGCAAACCCAACCACAGCAGACTTTCATGACACAACAGCAAGGTACGCCAGGACCATCTCATCAGCCCATGCAGCCTCAGCAGACTCAACAACAGACCCAACTGCTGCAGACTCCCACGACACAGCAAGTCAGCCAGGTGCAAGAACAGCCCCAGGCCCAAACAAGCCAGAATCAGGAAGCTGTGCCAGTGCACTGTGTCCATAATTTGGGTATGCACATTAATCAATCTTTGAAACAAAAAATAATTGAGGGTCAGTTTGTAGAATTACAATAATCTCTGCTTCCACCAAAACCTGGGGGTAATGATAAAAAAATAACCCTAAGTGCCACAGGGGAAATCATAACAAAGGAAAATGTGTCCAAAATATATTCAATTGAAAAATGGACGGATGTCATGCTCATGTTTGCATCCGTTTACGTATCTGCCCATCCAGATAAAGCAGTAGATATGCTAAAGTATATCCATACAGTTCATTTGGGGGCTTCAAGGGGGGCTACAGGGTGGTATCAATATGACACGCAGTATCGTCTGCGGAAATCTATAGATCCCTCTAGTTCTTGGGCATTAGTTGATTCAGAGCTGTGGTTGTTATACATGAATCCTAGTTATCAGCTGGGTCTTCCCCAGACTCAAAACACACAAATAAACAAATGTTGCTTTGATTTCAATTTTAAGGGGTCCTGCAGTCGAAATCCATGTCAGTACATGCACAAGTGTACACGTTGTGCCGGCATGCACCCAGTCATACAATGCAATTATCAAAGAGCCCAGGCAAATACCAGTAGCTCATCGAACCCCACCTACTCCTTTCGAACCCAGCCCATGCAACCTCAATCACAATATAGAAATGCATATGCAAGACAACGAACTCAACCAAACTCCTACCAAAGACCCCAATCCCAGATCCAAAATTACAGGGGAAATAGCCAAAAATATTTGGGTCCTAGGAAGAACACCAATTAAAATTCCTATATTAAAGAGTTACCTTGATCATTATCCAAACAAAACCATAGCAAACAAGTTGTCAAGTGGTTTTTCTCAGGGGTTCAGACTTTATTACTCAGGTCCTAGGTTACATATAGAAAACAACAATTAATTATTTAATTTCAGCCTATGAACACAAAGCAGAAATTAAAGAAATAATAACAAAGAAGTTGAATTAGGCAGGGTAGGGGGGCCCTACAAAGAACTACCCTTATGTAATCTCCGAGTATCTCCAGTAGGAGTGGTACCAAAGGGGGAGAATGCTGGGTGGCGATTGATTACGCACCTATCATATCCTACAGACAACAGTGTAAATCATTATATAGACCCTAGTGAGTCCACAGTTCATTATACATCCTTTGATACGGTCATAAAAATGTTGGCCAAGGTTGGTGAAGGTGCCTTTATTGCAAAAGTAGATATTAAATCAGCATTCAGGTTACTACCTATTTTCCCTGGGGATTTTGACCTTTTAGGATTCAAAGTTGATGGTTTATATTATATCGATAAATGCCTTCCAATGGGCTGCTCTCTCTCTCATGCAAAGTTTTTGAAGAATTTGCAACATTCTTGCACTGGATTACAGAAAAAAAGAGTGGTCTTGATACCTTAGATCATTATTTATATGATTTCATATTTGCAGTGGAGGATAGGGAGTCCTGTCTTAAATTAATGCAAACATTTCAAGGAGTTTGTAATGAACTGGGGGTCCCCTTGGCTGATGACAAAACGGTTTATCCCACTCACTGTCTTGTATTTTTAGGTTTAGAAATTGACACAGTGCAAATGTTAATCAGAATACCCCATGAAAAATGAATCGAATTGGAGTCTATGCTGCATGAACATTTAAGCAAAAAACATATAGTTCTGCGTCAGTTACAGTCATTGTTAGGAAAGCTAAACTTTTTTTACAAAAGCTATTTCTGCTGGTAGAGCATTTGTTAGGAGATTGTATAATTCAACCCATGGCGTATCTAAGCCTCACCATCATATTAAGTTGAACAATGAAATGAAGCAAGACATGCTTATGTGGTTAAGCTTCCTCGAGCAATTTAATGGTCAAGTTTATTTCCAAGAAAGTGATTGGTCTTCAAATTTGGTTTTAGATCTGTATACAGATAGTGCTGGTTCTGCACATATGGGTTGTGAAGCATACTTTCAAGGCCAATGGTGCTATTTACCTTGGCCACATGAATGGGTTAATTCAGATATCTTGCATGACATGACTACACTAGAGCTTATACCAATGGTTTTGGCCATAAGTTTATGGGGTAGTCAACTCGCGAATAAAAAAGTACTATTTCATATTGATAATGAGGCATTGGTTGCGGTTTTGAATAAACAGTCCTCAAAATCCAATAGAGTTATGAAATTAATTCGTCCATTAGTGTTAGACTGCATGTTAAACAATATTTTTTTCCGTGCTGTTCAATTCCGTACAAATGATAACATTATTGCCGATTCAATTTCCCGTCAGAAGTGGCACCGTTTTTGGAAGGCTGCACCACATGCACAGACATCACCGCAACCTGTACCAATCAAATTCCAGAACCTCATATCCAGCATGAAATAAACAAGTTGTTAGGGGCAGCATTATCTGAAAACACTAGCAAGGCTTATCAAAACGGTTTAAGAGCTTACTTCAGCTGCTGCATGCAACAAGGATTAAATACTCCTTGGCCACCCTCCTGTGATTCGATTGTTAGATTTGTTGCACATTTGTCACTTAAGAGCCTGGCCTTTTCTACAGTTCGTTCGTACTTAGCGTCCATTTCTTATAATTGCAAACTTCAAGGTCAAAAAGATCCAACAGAAGAGTTCATAGTAAAAAAGTTGTTACAGGGCTTGAAACGCATTGCTCACAGCATTGACAGTAGGTTGCCCATTACAAAGTCCATATAAGAGCAGATTCTTAAAATTCTACCCAGTGTATGTACAAATTCATATGAGGTGTCATTGTTTTCAGCTGCATTTTATGGCATCCTTAGAGCAGGAGAACTTGCAGTCTCTGGCAAATCCTCAGACAGAGTTGTTGCCTATACAGACATTCATATTGATAACACTAACACTACATTATACCTCAAAATAAAATTTTCAAAGACCGATCAGTATGGAAGGGGTACAATTTTGCAGATACATGGCACAGGGGATTTAACTTGCCCCTGCACTAATCTTCAAAGGTTTTTGGAAATTAGACCTACGCAGGGGGGGGGGGGGGGGTCCGTTATTTTGTCATTTTTTCCGGAGCTCCTCTCTCTAAGTACCAGTTTACTTCGATTTTATACAAAGCAATATCGGCCTTAAACCTGGAGTCTTGGGGCTACAAATCCCACTCTTTTCGTATTGGAGCAAGTACGGAATTGGCTTTAAAGGGGTTTTCATCTCAAGTTATTCAATCCTCAGGAAGATGGAAATCAGATTGCTATAAATTTACATACGTATTCCAAGATTTTAATTAACCCAGAATTATTGTTTCAGATTCTGAAGTCGTATGGTTGTTTGGGTCATCAATTATTAAAAAGGGCTTTTGCAGAAGCTAAGATTAGGCCTGATAGGTGTGACTTAAATTTGCAAAGATTAAATATTTCAATTTGGTGGAAAGGTTACAGTTGTATAGAATTTAAGAATGCTTTAGCTAAATTGCGGTTGCTGAAAAAAGTGGGTCCTACCCCAAATGTTATCCTTGTGCACTGTGGCGGAAATGATATTGGGAAAACATCAGTGAGAAAATTAAGAATGTTAGGCATAAAATTCTTGGATTTTATTAGGGAGGAATTTCCTCTTGTGCACTTAATATGGTCTCATATTCTTCCCCGCGTTATTTGTCAGATAGTCGGGCCATGGAGAATACCAGAAAGAGGTTTAATGCATTTTTCTCTAACAAAGTTTGTCAAGTTGGGGGTTCTGTAATCCACTACCCTGACATCAAAAATCATGCCCATTTTTTTGAAAGGGACGGGGTACATTTATCCAAGTTAGGAAATGAAATTTTTCTCAATACAATTCAGGGGGGTATAGAAGCGATCATTAGGCTTGGATGCAAGTTTTACCCATCACGTTAATGACTGATATCGGGAGAGAAAGGGTCACGGCTGCTCTAGGCCGCTCAGGACCCCCACTAGTAAAGTGGCGGCGCCCCCATTCGTAGATGCCTTGTTAATGCATATACGACTGGGGTCTTGTGACGAACTGAGCGGCATGCATCACTTTAACTGTAATATTTGTTCATTATTGGACCGCTGCACCACACAGGGTCAAAGTTGAATACCATGTAAATATTGTGACAATGTAAACAAAACTGTTTATTTTCTTCTTTGACTTCTGCACCTCCCAGAGTCATGGATGTGTGAATTTTATTGTTGCATTGCAAGTTTTTATTATTTGACCTTGACCTCTGCATCTCCCAGGGTCAAGGTCACCTGATATGTTGTATGTTGATTTGTACTGAAATGCTGTTGTACTGAAATGTTGTTGTTGAGCTTGTGTTGATGGGCCTACCCGTTGCTTTGGAGGCCCGAAATAATATGTTGTTGTATAATTCAGCCGTGCCCAAAAGCGCCAAATAAATATAAAACCTATTAAAATTTGTGTTTGATTTATTGCGCCTCTCCAAGATAAATACATTTTAATGGAAATAAAACGTCAATAATATTTACAAAAGGAAAAAAAACAACCACAATCTGTTCTTTCAATATGCATTTCTTAAATTCAGCAACTTGAACATTTCTCCAGCTGATATACATGAGCTGTATAATAAATAACAGCTGATATACATAGACTGTACAATAAATAACAACTGATATACATAGACTGTACAATAAATAAAAGCTGATATACATAAACTGTATAATAAATAAATGCGGGCTTTACTGCTCCTGCTGATATACATAAACGATATAATGAATAAAAGCGGACTTTTCTATCGGAAAACACTTTACTTAGAAGCAGTTGAAAATTCCCCTTGAATTAAATCGTCTACTACAACTGAACACTTTAAATAATATTGTATGAGCAATCATGTAAACGCCTTATCAAGTTAACCTTAGCTCATGTGTCATGGAATTAGTTTTCTAAAAAATCAGACTGAGAAAAAGGGTCATTTCATCTGAGCGAATTATGCCAGGTATTCTAATTGATATTATAAAATGGACTTGTATTTTGTTCACATTTAACAAATGCAAAATCGTCTTCAGATTTCAACACCACGCTACAAGAACAATGTGTATTAAAGAGGTTAATTTTGACAACATGATATTGCAAGCGAACAATAAATATATGATCTTATTACAGCTGCAGTTGCATTGCCATAAATTAAGGAATTAAATGTACACCGAAGACAGACTAAAAAAATATCATTATATCTAAGCCAACTATGCGAGGTATTTTGTTTGTTAATGTAAAAGTAGACATGTATTTTGTTCTCATTTAACAGATACAAAATCTCCTTCAGATTTCAAAACCGCCTACAATGTCGTTTAGCAATGTGTAACAATGTGTATTAAAGCGATAAATTGTGACAACGCGATATGAAATTCTCACTCCTCCATGGTACCTGATCCCACCTCTGATGTTTTCAAGGTCCGTTGTAAATTGTATTTATTTTTTAATGGACTTTTGAGCTTGAATACTGTTCGTTATTTCCATATATTTCATTCTATCAATACATAATCTTATAACAGTTGTAGTGAATTATCGTCATCATTTTAAAGTTTCTTTAAAATACAAAATATTTACCCAATCAGCGATCAAAAAAATTAAGTTCATTAACTTAAGTCATGTATCATTGCATTAAAGATGCAATAGTAATGGCTCAAGCCACTACTTATGAATTTTTATCTTGTAAAATGTTTTTATCTTGCTGATTTATTTGATTTATTTAAAGTCATTTTATAAACGAAATATATGGAGATAACGAACAGTATTCAAGCTCAAAAGTCCATTAAACAATACAAAATAGGAGCAGAGCAAATACGAACCTCCAAAACATCAGAGGTGTTAACCTAACCTAACATAGCATTGTATACTTTAGACAACTAGAAAAAGTGTATTCAATTGAAGACATACATTATTGATGTTTGCGATCAGATTAGAAGTTTTTAAAATGTAAAAAAAAAAATGAATTGTTGTGTATTTATTCTATTTGTGCTATTTGTCGAACAAATCTCAACAACCAGCAATCTAAAACATATCTCTGATACATGACCAATGTGATACAATAAAAATCTTAAACACCTCAATATACCACTTCAAAATAGTTACAATCCCTCATACATTGACCCAAGTTTTTGACCACAGGCAATACATATACATGTATACATGTATCACATCAAATGGATTTCTCTTTAATCTCTTTAATCCCAACAAATACTTGATAATAATAAAAATAACAAACGTGCTTCAAAAATGAATAATATTAAGTGCAATAATTATTTTCAATTTCCAATTTGTAGATCATGTAAACGTTGTGCAAGGATCATGACAACAACAAAAAAAACCTAACGTCTGATATTTCAACAGCGGTTAACCAAAGTAAAACATTTGTAACACAGGTCTACAACATCTGTTTCATATTTGAATATTTTACTGACTATAGACAATAAAGGTAAACCAACAACTAAATTGTATGACAAACGAAATGACTTCAACTTTACCATCTTTAATTTTCCTTATTTATGTGGTTATATACCACTATCACCTGCATATGGTGTTTACATATCCCAACTCATTTGATACTCCCAAGCATGCTCCGAGTACGATCAATGTTTAAACCGAGGTAGGCTACTTATAAATAAGTTGATTTTGCAGGGATTTCAACAACCTCGTATAAAGTCAGCATTTCGTAAATTCTATGGTCGTTATAATGACCTTGTTTGAAAATATAACTTGTCATTGGGTTGTGTGTTGGCTGACTTGTCTCATACCAATTGTTAGGCCTTTGTTTTTATACCGAATTTGAGTACGGAATGTTCCGTCTTCTTGTTCTATACATAGGGCTCACGGCGGGTGTGACCGGTCAATAGGGTATATTTACTCCTCCTAGGCACCTGAATACACATCTGGATTTTCCAGGGATCCGTGAATTATGCCCTCTTTACATAATTGTATTGTTTAAAGATTTTTATGAAAGTGATCGTTGTTCGTTATCTTTACCTTGTCATTTTATACATGTTATATATATATATATATATATATATATATATATATATATATATATATATATATATATATATATATATATATATATATATATATATAGCACCGCACACTTTTAAACTGTAAGGAGTTTACCCGCTGTGTGCTCAACGCCAGTGGCATGGTCGTGCAAACTGAAAAATTTGTAGAAAATTCAGTGTTAAAAACATTTAGTATGGAAGATAAAAAGAAAAAAAAACTATTCCTAATACTAGTAAAATACAAAACTGCTTTTAATAGTTGGCAAATTAGAAAGTTGGAGAACGTGTGTGTAAAATCAGAATTTTTATTTTTTTTTAAACACATTTGCAAATAACCGACCGTTCACAGTAGCTCAGTCGGTAGAGCGCTCGCTCCGTGATCGAAAGGTCGTGAGTTAAAATCTCGGCAGCGACTGACCTAAGTTACAAAAAAAATGTAGCAACTGTTCCTTCGCCAAGCGCTCGGCTCTTTGAAGTGAAAGTTGCGGGTCCTTCGGATGAGACCTTTAAAACCGTGGCCCCGTGTCACGGCAGGCGTTGCATGATAAAGATCCTTCACTTGTCAATGGCCCTGATTGCCGAGTAAAGGTCAAAATTTGAAGACCTTTACCGGCATATGGTGATGTCTCTCTGTAAGTGAAAAATTCTCGAATGGGCGGACGGTAAATAACATACAATCAATCAATCAATCATTCGCAAATAACCAATGATAAAGTATGTAAATTTCCTTAGCGTGAGAAGTAATCAAACAATTAAGAGCCAAGAGAACCGGCACTTTATACACTTTGTAATTTGATTCATATTGGAAAAAAAAACCTAGGTCAATATTACTCAAGTTTGTCAAAGTCAGTGCATCCCTAGATCAAGAACTTTCCCTGAAAAGACAATACCAATAAGAATATATAACAAAAGTACATCGTATTTTTTTTTGACAAATTATTTTATCCTCAATGTGCTAGGAAGATTTCCAAATAAATGTGAGTTTTTGTAGACAATTTGTTGGATTATGCGCCTGAAATTAGGTATGAAAAAGCCTTTTACAAACTTTTGATTTTGTTTATAATAACGTTGCATTCCCCCTAAATACTATACAGTGTACTATTATTTTTAA